GTTTAGCCACTTAAACTTCATGTGGCCCAATTTCCTTTACTCTAAACCTAGAAGTCAAACAGATAATCACAAAAGTCCTTCACATCCTGAAATGCTCTGATTTTGTATTCAGGTAACTAACTCAAAAAGAAACTGTCTTTATTTCCTCCATCCTCTTTAGCCCCCTTCACTAAAGTTAAGAGTCCATATTTTATGAATTCTAATCAACAGCATGTTGTTGAACAACAAAAAGCTCCACTCTGCAGTTATGATTCCCAAATCTTATTATTAACCTCAAATGACAATGACATAGGGAAAAGACCTTAGAACAACTTTGGGTTGGGGTGGGAGGTGTAAAAAACCAGGCTACTGAATATAGGTGGCTATAAATTTATAAAATAATCACTCATTTCCATCTCTTCTAAAAAATAGGAAAAAAAAGTCTTTAAAGAGTTTTAAGAGTTGTCACAAATTCAATGCTTTATTCAGCCAATAAAAATAAATAAAGAAATTATCCAAGATGTTTATTATAGGCATGGAAGAATCACCAATTTATAGAAATTCTACCAAAATGGCCTAGCACTCTAGAATCTACATTTTACCAAGCTGGCCATCTAGCCCCTTCAAATTGCATCTAATGACACTAACAGGATGTTTATACATCTAAGAAGAAGTGTAGGTTCCACTCAACACTATTATTCTGTGAAGTCTTCCAGGACCAAATTACTTTACAGAATAATCTTGGTTCCCTTTGTTCTCTAGAAAAGAAACCCCCAAAGATTCTTAAATAAAATTAGCAAAACCCTTCTAACTAGTTTTCTATTGTTGCCGTAACAAACTATCACAAACATAAAACAATATATTATCTCACAGTTTCTATAGGCCAGAAGTGAGGTAGACTTGGCTGGATCCTCTGCTTAGGGTCACAAGGCCAAAAATCAAGGTGTCCATAGGGCTATGTTCATTGATGGGAATTCAGTGGCAGGGTGGGGTATCTGACTTCAAGCTCAGATTGTTGGCTAAATGTAGATCCTTGTGGACGTAGGACTGAGGTCCCCATTTCCTTGCTGACAGTCAGCTGGGGCTGTCCGCATTCCTTCTTGTGATTTCCATGTGGCCCCCTCCAGTAATGGCAGGTTGAGTCCTTCTTGTGCTTCAAATTTCTCTAGCTCCAGCTGGATAAAGTTCTCTGCTTTCAGGTGAATAGACTGGATCTACCAGGAAATCCAAGATAATCTTCCTATCTTAGGATACCACAGTTACATCTTCAAAGTCCCTTTTGCCACGTAACAGTAACAAATTCAGGTTCCAGAGATTAGGGTACAGACACCTTTAGGGGTGTTCAATCCACCTAACACAGCCCACCCTATGGGTTCCAAAGACTACTGTCTCTCCCAAATGCAAAATACATCCATTCCATCCTAAGGTCTCATTCCATTACAGCATCAACTCCAAGTCCAAAATCTCATCTATAACTCATCAATTCAAAAGTCTCAAATTTCACCACCTACATCAGGTGTGGGTGAGGTTCTGGGAAGAATACATTCAGAATCCTGGGGCACAATTCCTAAAAAAACAAGTTATCTGCTCCCAACATACAATGGTGGGACAGGCATAGGGCAATACTTATAGACATTCCAGTTCAAATGGGGAAAATTTAAGAGAAAGCAGATCCATCGGTCCAAAGCAGTTTCAAAATCTAGGCAAACTCCATTCCATTTCAAAGCCAGGGAAAACTCTTCTGTGGCCTTCAGCTCCATCTCTCTGGGCTCTTGGTTCCACCCTCTGAGTCACTCTTCTTTTTTAACGAAAATGCAGCACATCCACATATGAGTAGTTTTATTAGCCTGCATCCTACCAGTAGAATTTGGGAGGCTTCAATAGCCCTCTTTAACTTCCTACTCTGTCTTTTTCAATCCAAGCTGGCAATGTTTCTGCTAGTATAAAATCCTCCAGAACCTAGCAGGCTTTACATGAATTTCACAGCTCACTGACAGACTCACGCTCATAAACAAACCAAGCTGTACTTTCAACATTCTACCTGGAAATCTCCTCAGCTAAATACCCAAGTTCATCATTTATAAGTTCTGTTTTCCACATGACCACAGGACATAATTCTAAGCTTATTTGCCAATATGTAACCAAGATCCTCTTTCCTCCAGTTTCCAATGCATACCTCACTTCCATCTGAGCATTCACTATTTCTATTAACAATCTGTTCTAGGCCTTTTCTATCATGCTCCTCAAAAATTTGCTGGCCTCTTTAACTGCCACTTAACACATTATTAGGTACTAGTTCCCCACTCCTGGTACCAAAATCTATACTAGCATTCTATTGCTGCCATAATAAAACCACAAACACAGTGGCTTAAAACAATAGAAATTTATTATCTCACAGTTTCTGTAGGTCAGTAGTTGGGTGGGCTTGGCTAGGTCTTCTGCTTAGGATCTCACAAGGTCAGAATCAAGGTGTTTTCATTGCTGGAAACTGGGGAAGAATCCACTTTCAAGCTCACTCAGGTTGCTGGCCAAATTCAGTTTCTGGTGGTTGTAGGACTGAGGTCTCCATTTCCTTGCTGGTTGTCAGTCGGGGCTGGTCTTTGTTACTAGAGGCTCCCCGCATTCCTTCTCATGCTTTCCATGTGGCCCCCTCTAGCAACAGCAAATGGAGTCCCTTTCATGATTCGATTCTCTCCGATTTCCCCTTCTGTCCCATCTCTCTAGACTCCCAGGTGGAGAAAGTGCTCTGCTTTTAAGGGCTCATGTGATTAGACTGGGCCTACCCACAAAATCCAGGATAATCTTCCTATTTCAAGATGCTTAACCCTAATTACCGCAATGTCTTTTTTACCATGTAACATATTTACAGGGGATTAGAGTATGGACATCTTGGGGGCCGGGTGTCATTCTGCCTACTATGAACCCAAACCCTATGTAAGACTTTAAACTCAGTTCCCAAAGAAAATTTCTCCTTTCTCCAAAAGAGCATGTGAAGTAAAGGTGTATGTTCAGAGATAAGAGACAATGGTAAAATCAAAGACTCACCCTGGAAGAGAGTGGCTAGGCAACAGGAGAACTAAAAATACATTGTAAAAAAAGAAGCTGATACTTGTTTCTTCCCCAGCTAGACAACTAACCCATTAGGCAGAAACTAACCAACTGCTCCCCCTTAAATGTGTGCTTCTTTTCTCTACTGTATTTCACACAAGAGGGTATAACTAGGCATATCTGGTTCTTTTTTTTTTTTAAACAAAAGTTGCCCCAGGGTGACCTAATTTTGTAATCAGTTGACAAACCAATCTAAACAAACTTCAAATATATTCATTCTCTCTTCAAGTCATACATCCTTCCCTAACAGCAAATGAAAATCAAGAATTTCAAAGTCACAGAAGGACAAACCTGCCCAGGTAAAACTGCAGGTGAACTTTTTAAGTGACATGAGGGAGAACTAGTATTGGTCCTGGTTTTTCAGCCCAAGGTCCACCAAGCCAGTTAAGCCAAGTGACTTACAACAAAAGAAAAACACTGCAACAACTATAAATATAATATTCTTAAGTTCTGCCTACTGTCAGATTATTGACCATAAATTTTACCTATAATGGAGGAACCCCAAAGACACCAGCTAGCCCCTTTAATAAAAGTGGCAGATAAGGTCTATCGAGCACTTACTACTTGCCAGGCACTGAGGTGAGCACTTGACACAAATTATCTTCCTTACTCATCATAAACTTATCATCTAGGAAATATTATTACCCTCATTTTACAGATAGGAAAACTGAGGTTTACAGAAGTTAGGTTACGAAGCTAAATAACAGTGGCACTTATTTTTGAGAATCCAGATATTTACTGTCAATCCTTAGACTGAACGAGGTCTTCCAACTCTTAGAAAAATCTTCCCTTCCTAGTTTTCTTTTCACTGCCTCTCCTCAAGCCCTTTTCTCATAGAATTTAGCAGTTGAAATGTAATCAACTCTTCCCCAATTAACGTGCCACCTTCTTTCCAGAACTCTTTCCTTCCCACAATAGCAAGGCCAAGAAACAACTTCTCCCGACACTGACTTTGCTTCCCAAAAACAATCTACATAAACTCCACCCATCACCTGCCTAGGCTAGAAATGTTACAACGCTGCAAAAAACCAAACAACAACAGAAGAACAAAAACAAAATAAAAGTCCTACTCTTCAAAAGGTCACAAACTAACATGTATACTCGTAGCCAATCTTTCATTCTGCATACTTCTCTTCCACCCAAGCTCCCAACTAACCCTTGACTCCAACTCCACCCATTCTACCCCACTTCGTGGTCCCCTTCCGCTTTATCCCCAGCGACCTCGCCCCGGGTTCCCTCCACCTTGCACCCCAGTGTGCAGGTGGGAAGTCCAGCCTCGCCCTTCTAAGGCCCCTACTCCAGCGCTCTGCTCCGCGCGAGGGTCCACTCCAGTTTACATAGCAGGCATCACTCCCCTAGGAACCCTCCTCCAGCATCCCCCACTGCGGCCCCACCCCTCAAGCCCCCTTCCCCTTCTGGCGACCCCCTCCTCCAAGTTGCCCCCTAGTCCCCGCCCCAGCCCAGCCCTCTCCCCCGCAATAAGCTGGACTCCCGAGAGCCAGTTTCCATCCTCACATCAGCCTCTGCCTCAAGCCTCGCTCCCCGCCCTGGGAGGGTGGCCCTGGGCCTCCCCGACGGGCTGCAGGGGCCTCGGCTGGTGTGTGTGTAGAGGGGGGGAAGGGGAAGGTGAAGGGCCGCTAGGGAGTCTGCTGGACGCTTGAGAGGCGGTCGCGCCCCGCTGCCCCCTCCTGGGTCCACCTCCACCCCACAACGACCTCGCCTGGCAGCTCCCACGGTACCTGTGGTGGAAGCGGCAGCGGCGGCAGCCGCTCTCCCCTCTCCTCACACAGACAATATGGCGGCGGCGGAGGAGGAGACACACGGCTCGGCCGCCAGCCGCAGGGACCAGAGCGAGGCTGCAGCCGCCGCTGCCGGAAGCGGAAACCCCCCTCCGACCGGGAGGCGGGGCGGGACCGCTTCCGACTCCGCCCCTAGCGGAATCTAGGTGAGTGCGGCCATGCTGGGACGTCCTATTGTATCCCTAGGGGGTTAGTTCTGGACTGGGGCACAAAATAGAAGGAGGTCTCAGCGTAAAGCATAATAAGGAGACTTGTAGTAATTAAGCGCATTTTATTTCAGTACCTGTACGAACTGACGAGAGCGAGAACACGAACCTCCCACTAAGTGTACAGTTGGTTCGACCCAAGGTAAGATGGCGGTCCCTAGGTTTCCCGCATTTCACCCAGCTGGTGAGTTCTACCGGTCTGCGAGCCGGGGGCCCGCCTTTCTTGAAAAGTAGCATGCGCGACCTGCGGGGCTGCAGAGCGAAGCATTTTGGGAGTTGAAGTCTCCTGCTTGTGCCCCTCGTCTAGGGTTAGGGTGCCAGCAGTTACTTTTTTTTTGGCTCAAACTTCGAGTTCCGGAACAAGTGACCGAAACTTGGACCCGGGAATGGTGTGGCGCAGGAGTCGAGAAAGTGATAGTACTAGCCTTCTAGAGACTGAGACCTAATTCCTGCCTCCTGCAGGAGTTCTATCTAGAGCTGCCCATCCAGGATAAAGTGTTTTTTCTCCCTTCGATCTGCCCCCACCCCCACCCCCGCTTGCCCCGGCAACAACCCCAAGGCAGCTAAAGGGCACTTTATACCTTGCAAAACTTACTATGACGTCCTCTTGGTCAAAGATCTCCCAAGACTTTTCCTTTGTGCACCCAAGGTATCCCAAGCTCTTCTCTTGACATCTAAGTTCCTGAATAATTAGGATACCCCTCGCCGCTCCTTTTCTGGCCTCTTCGGCCCCTCTCATTTCAATTTCTTGATGCTCCCACTCGCTAAAACTGCAGACTGTTCCTGGAGCTTATCCGTGTCGCCTCCCTCCTTTTGCATTGGCAGTTACTTATGGGACTGCACCTCCTGGAGTGGCTAACTTCTGTACGTCCATCGAACTAATTCAGGGATCCTTTCCACTGGGGATCTTCCCTCCCTTTAGTTCGCCCAGATCTTGGCACCGTCACTCATCAACGTGACTGGTCCCTAGCCTGCCTCCTCCATCAGACTGTGAGCCCCCAGTGGGCAGAGCTGAGTCTGATGATCACCCTATTCCCTGCAGGCCCTACTAAGAGCTGCTGTGTGTGTTACTGAGAGGAATTCAAGTGTTAGCCTCACCTGTGGTGGGGCAGAGGTGTGAGGTCTTGAACAAGGGTGAGGAGGCTGGGTTATTTTGGTACCAGCTATTATCCCTGAGCTGCCTCAGAATAGCTGCCTGGCCCAGGGATGGGCCTGCCCACCCTCTCTAGCCCTCCTTTCACAGTTGTCGGCTGACTCGCACCTCTGCTCCCAAAGAGACAATCTTCTTCCCTGTGAGATGGGGGTGGTGACAGCTGCAAACATATAGTGATGGTCTCAGGGAGGTGACCATGACCTTTCCTGAGCCTCATCTGTCAGACAGGTCTGTAGTATTGGCCCCAGTGGGCTGGAGGTCCACAGAGATGGCTTTCTGGTTGCCCTCAGGCTGGTCATTCCTCCTTTTTGGGTCTTGGCTTCCCCACTTGTGGACTGAGGAGGTTAGACAAGGTGATTCCAAGGTTTCTGTGAAGCCCTCTTCCAGGAAATGATGCCTTCCCTTAGCTTTTGGACCATGTCTTTTTAGCTCTCGTGGCTCCTTTCACACTATCTTTATTCACATTTATTCAGTTTACACCTGTTAATCACTTGCCATGAGCCACACAGTGTGCTAGGTGCTGGGAATGTGGCATGAGCAAGACAGATACCAGTTAGTTCCTAATGAAACGCACCTTTAAAAAATTTTTTTTTAATTTTTTGCGTGGTGGGGATAATTAGGTTTATTTATTTAGTTAGTTAATTTATTTATTATGGAGGTTCTGGGGTTGAACCCAGGACCTTGTACACACTAAGCAGGCACTCTATTACTGAGTTATACTCTCCCTCAAAACACCTTCTAAACTGATAAATAATGCACAGGTAAACAAGTGGATAACAAAGCAATTTCAGGTAGCAATGAGTGCTATAAAGGAAAAAGATAAGGAGCTGTGAAAAGGAATAAAAGAGGGGGGAACTTTAGCTTGAGTGGTTCAGAAGGAAGGTCCCTCTGAGGAAAAAAACAGTAAGTGCAAAGGTCCTGAGGCAGGAAAGAGCTTGATAAGTTTGAGGAAAGAGGCCAGGGTGGCTAAAGCACTTTGAGTGAGGAGAAGAAGGGTAGGAAATATGGTAAGAAAGGTGGACAAGGCATTCAGGCCATGGTAAGGAGTCTGGGATTTTATCTAAAAAGAGTGGGGAAAAGTCCCAAGACTCAGTCCTCACACTTTTCCTAATGATTGCAGCCCCTTCTACAGCCTCAGTTCTTCATTCTGCCACCCAATTCCAGCCTCCATGCATGACATCATTCAGAAGGCTCCCCTAGACACACATATACAATCTTTTCTTTTTTTCTTTTCTTTTCTTTTTTTTTTTCATATACAACCTTTTCTACTCTGCAGGACACAGCTGAGACCTAACCCCTGACATCTCACAGGCCAGCCTGGTATAGATAGGTCTCTGGTTCCAAAAAGCTCTCAGTCTCTGATGTTCACTAGTTATGGAGCCTCCAGGTACCAGCTCAGTTATCTTTAGTACTTACTCTTCCTGTCCCCTTCCCATAGCACAACTCTCAGGCTAGACTTCCTTCAAAGAACAATAACACAACCACAGTTAAAATGTTCATAGTACTTGCCCTGTGTCACACACTGAATATTTATCATCTCATTTAATCCTCACATCAGCCTGATGGGGTAGGAACTAAAAGTATCCCACTGTACAGATGAGGAAACAGATTCAGGGAGAATACAGAACATGCCCAAGTTCACATACAAGAGATGGAGTTTGTATTCCAACCAGGGCCATAGACACTGCACTAAGCACCTAAGCATATCAGCTTTCTATTGTTGCTTAACAAATGACCCCAAAATGAGGTGACTTAAAACAACAATAAATTATTTGCTTATATTTGTGTGGATTGGCAGTTTGGACATGTCTCAGCTGGGACCACTCTTCTGCTGTACATGGTCTTTCCTGGGCTTACTCCCATATTTGCAGTCAGTTAGGAAGTTGGCACGCTCACTGGTCCTATATGGCCTCATTCATATATCTAGAAGTTGGCTTGAGTGTCTAGGTTCTTCTCCATGTGGCTTCTTTGGCAGCCTAGCTCAGGCTTCCTCGTGATAGCCTCCAAAAGGAAAAGAACCAAAGCAGCAAGACCTCTTAAGGCCTAGGCCTGGGAGTGCTGTAGCATCACTTTCACTGCATTTGATTGATCCAAGTCTGTCACATGGCCAGCTCAGATTCAAGGAGAGTAGAAATAGACACCATCTCTTGTTGGAAAGAACATCAAAGTCATATTGGAAAGAATCACGTGTGTAGGGATGACTGGGATCATTGTGGTCATCTTTGCAAACAACATAATGCACTAACTGACACTAACTGAGGTACAGAATTGGTTAAGTAAATTATGGTACAGCTAAACATAGAGCTATTAACAAGGAGAGCTAATATTTTTTGAGCCCTTAGTATGTGTCAGACACTATGTAAGATGGCTTACATGTATTAACTCATTTCATCCTCATATCAGCCCTGTGTGGCAGGTACATGTTTATCCCCATTTAGAGATTAAGCACACCAAGTCTCAGAGAGGTTAAACTGTGTGTGCGACGTCATATGACTAGTAAGTGGCAAAGCTGTTAAAAAGGATGAGGATCATTTAATTTCCAGACATGGAAAGCTGGCCTTGTCATACTATTATATGATAAAAAGCATGAGACCAAACAAAAGTTTGATGAGAACACATTTTAAAAACACACATAAAATGGATATATGTATGTATATTATATAGTTTTAGATAAAGTTCAGGAAGGATTTACCACAAACTATTAGTGGAGCTTATGTCAGAAGAGAGAAGAGGAGGGAACTTTAAACACTTCTGTCTGCATTGTGTGAATTTTTTGTTTGATTTTTTTTTAACAGCAAACATGAGTGTTTTATTTCAACAGTCAACAAAGGAAAAAGAGTTTTTAAAATGTTCTTCAACTTGTCTCTCACTTCTGTCTTTTTCTGTTTGGGTTTTACATTTACCATTTTGCTTTGTGTTTTCTTTTATTCTTTTTCTGACACTATCTCAGCCCAGCCCTTTATCAGTTCTGGCCTAAAGTTTTGTAACTACCTTAAGGGGCTCCTTCTCTCTACCACTCCCATGTGCTCTGCTCACTGCTACTGGAGGAAAGTTTATTAACCACCATGTACCTTTCTTGCTCAAGAGTTTTCAGTGGCACTGTATCACCTTCAGGGAAAGTCCAAACCTCTTGGCCCTGTGTACGTGGCATGTGTAAACTTGACTCCAAGTTGGTTGGATTCCAGCTCTGTCATTTACTAGCAGTATAATCTTGGACAAGTTATTTGATCTCTCTGAGCCTTAGTTTCCTTATCTGTTAAGAAAAAAGAAAGAGAGAAAAGGAAACAAAGAAAGAAAGAAAAGGAGGGTAGAGAGAGAGAGGGAGGGGGGAGGGAGGAAGGAAGGAAGAAAGGAAGAATAAGAAAAGGAAGAAAGAAAGGGGAGAGGATATAGTGTGACATATCTTGCAGCAAAGTAGATTACTGTTCAGTGACTGTCCCTCTCTTCCCCCATCAGGGCTGGTTGATACTCCCAACTCCTTCAATACTAGATGTGGCCATGCAATTTGCTTTGGCCAGTGGAATGTAGATGAAAGTGACAGTGTGCCAGTTCAGCCTAGGCCTTAAGGGACCTCTCCTGTTTTCAATTGCCCCCTTGGAATTTCCACCTCTGCCATAAGGATGGGGCTACCATTAGTGCACCCCATCTTTTGAAACAGAGTTCCAGTCAAAATTGCTGTAGGAAAGTCTGGAATAAGAATAATTTTGTAGTTTAGTGTTTAGCTTGTATTAAATTTTAAATTGTATTTTTTTCTTAAACTCCATCTCTTTTGAATGTCAGAAAGCTAAACAGACAGGGAGAAATTTTCTCTGTGCCAGTTTAGGGAAGCAGTAGCGTCTATCCAAATCCTCAGCATCAAACAAGCTGGTCCAGAAGAATGAAAAGACACATGTAGTAGCCAAGCCCAGCAGAGCTCAGTCGGGGTGAGCCAAACCCCAAATGGCTACAGATGGGAAAAGGAGAAATCAATATTTGCCGCTTGTAAGCCACAGACTTCTGGGGTGGTTTGTTATGTAACATTATTAAAGTAATAGTTAACTGATAGACCCACCTCATAGGGTCTTGTTAGGATTAAATGAGTGATACAGTAAAGCTCTTAAAAATATTCTGGCATATAGCAAGGGTACAGTCAATGTGAGCGATGATTATTGGGGTCCTTGTTCTCATGGAACTCATGTTTGGTGGAGAGGTGTATGATGTGTCAGATGGTGATGAGTGCTATGGAGGAAAATATAGCAGGGAATGGAGAAGGGAGTGCTGTGGTGTAGATTCTAATAGGTAATCAATGGAAGCCTCACTGGGAATGTGATTCTTGAGGAAACTCTTGGAAGAGGTGAGGTAGGGAGCGATGAGTGTATATAGGAGATTGTTCCAAGTGGATGATGGGCAAAGACTGTGAAGTAGACTCATGCTTTGTGAGTTTAAGGAACAGCCAGTATATAGGGGTGGCTGAGCTGAGTCAGCAAGGAAACATGATGTGAAGGGGCCAGTGCATGCACACCTTTGTGGATCATTGTGAGGACTTGGCCTCTGCTATGAGGGAGGGAGGTGGGCCATATTGGAGGGTTTTGACCAGAGAGGACAGGACCTGCTTTGCATTTTTACAGGATCTCTGTAACTTCAGGGTGTAGAGTAAATGGAATGTAAATGAGGGCTGAAGCAGGGAGACCAGCTAAGAGGCCACAATCCAGACAAAAGATGGTGATGGTTTGAACCAAAGTTAGACTCTGGGGTTATTTTGAAAGCAAAGCCGAAAGGACAGATTGGGTATGGGGTGTTTGAAAAAGAAAGGAATTGAGGATGACTCCAAGGTTTTTGCCCAGAAGAGCTGAAAGAAGGAATTTGCCATTAACTGAGATGAGGAAGGCTTCAGGAGGACAGCCTTTTTACAGGGAAAAAGAGGGGAGAATGAACAGTTCCATTTGGAACTTGCTAAATTTCAGGCACCTGTCAGACTTCCAAGTGGAGATGCCTTGTTAGAACTTGCATGTATAAATCCCAGCCCAGGCTGGAGATACAATTTTGGGAGTTGTTATGGACTGAATTATGTCTCCCCAAAATTTGAATGTTGAAACTCTAACCCCTGAATGTGACTGTATTTGGAGATAGGGCCTTTAAGGAGGTAATTAAGATTAAATGGGGTCAAGGTGAGAAGGTATAGCTCAGTCGTAGAGTGTGTGCTCAGCATGCATGAGGTCCTGGGTTCAATCCCTAGTACCTCCTTGAAAGAAAGAAAGATCAAGTGAGGTCATAAGGATGGGGCCATAATCTGAGAATCCTAAGAAGAGAAATCTGAATTCTCTTTCCCTCTCTTCCCTTCTCTTTCTGTATGTGTGTGTTTGTGGGTGTACAGAAGAAAGGCCCTGTGAGAATATAGGAACAAGGTGGCAAACCAGGAAGACAGTTCTCACCAGCAACCAACCCTGCTGGCACCTTGATCTTGGACTTTCAACCTCTGGAATTGTGAGAAATAAGAAACAAATTTCTGTTTTATGCCATCAAGTCTGTGGTATCTTGTTGCGGCAGCCCAAGTAGATTAATATGGGAGTCATTGTAGAAATGCTAAGCCCTGAGGCTGAGTGAGATCTCCAACAGAGTGAGAACTGACAAAGAAGAGGGCAGGGCAAGGACAGAGACCCCGGATCCAACATTTACAGACAAGGAACCAACAAGGGAGTCTGAGAAGGAACAGCCAGTGAGGTAAGTGTTCTGGGAACCAAGTTAGGCCAACATTTCAATGGGGAGAGAATGGGTGATCTGTGTCAGAGGCTTCTGAGAGCTCAGGAAGATGGGAACCTAGAAGTGATTCAGCCCAGTGGAGGGCATTGTCACTGTGACACAAAGAGTTTAGGTAGAATGGTGGGGGCAAAAGCCTGACTAGAGTGGTAGTAAGAGAGAGTAGGAGAAGATAAACATACACACATATGTACATGCATAAAGAGAAATGACAGCACTTAACAGCAGAAAGCCTGTAGCCTGTAAAATGTAGAGAAAGAGGAATTAGAAATTTACCATTTGGCAACCACCCTAGTAATAATTGTTTCAGAAGAGAATCATTAACAGATGCTGTAACAGTGGATTAAAGTTTGACAAGAAACAGGATATTTGCATAGTCTTAGAGTATCTCCTCACAAGATCCTTATTAATTACAAAGGGTAAAATAGTCACTTTACAGTGGAGAAACCCAGCAGACACCACATTAATCGAATGATCAAAGTGAGCATTGCCAGTAATGGGGCAAACTGACATTGTGTCCCTCCTGATACGACACACTGAGGGGGACACAGCAGCTGTTCAGTGGTGTTTCTGCCAAAAATGCATAACTGACTCACAAGGAAACATTAGACAAACCCAAGCTGAAGGCTGTTTCTGCAGAATGACTGGCTGTATTCTTCGCTAGAAACTGCTGAGGTGATAAAAGGCAAAGACAGACTAAGGAATGGTTCCAGATTAAGGAGACAGAAGAGACAAAGGAACTAAATGTGAGGTGAGATCCTGGACCAGGAAAATAAATGTTTTCACTTACTGTAAAAGATATTAGTGGAACAACTGGTGGAAAATAAGGTCTGTAGCCGATAATAGTTCTGTATCAATGTAAAAATTTCTGATTTTGGTTATTGTGAAAGAATGTCCTTGCTTTTAGAAAACACACACTTGTTTTTAGGGATAAAGGGAAGCATGTCTGCAACTTACTGTAAAAGAGTTCAGGAGGAGAAGGGAAGAGAGAGTGATAAAGCAAAGGTGGTAAAATCTGGGTGATATTTGGTTATTCTTTGTACTATTTTTGTACCTTTTCTGTAATGGAAGGAGAGACATGGAGGCAGTGGGTATGGACAAGTTTCTTAGGAGTTTTGCTGTAGGGCTGAGGATGGGGTGGTAGGTGGAAAGCAAAGTGGGGTCAAGAGAAGTTACTTAATGCAGCTAGTACTCACTAGCATGTTTTTATGTGGATGAGGATGATTCAGTAGATTGCAAATAATGATGATGCAAGAGGAAGAAGAGAGTGGCTAGAATGACATCCCTGAAAAGAGAGAAGGAGGGGATCTTTACCCAGTGGAGGGCTGACTGGTTTGGACCTCAGGTAGTTGGTCCTCATGTGGTCACAGAGGAGAACGCAGAGTATAAATGGGTACCAGTGAAGGTAGATGGAGAGCTGTGAAGTGGAAACTTGTGGAAGTGTTCTCTGATTACTACAGTTTTTCCTGTGGAATAGGAAGGAAGGTCCTCAGCTAAGAGTGAGAACAGGGGAGAAGGTGATGGAGGTTTGAGACAAAGACAGGAAGAAATTGCCTGGGGAGAATGAATGGCCTATGGGGAACTATAGTGTAATTGTCAGGCAGGGCTGAAGACCTCACTGAGACTAGCCATCGAGTGAGTGAAGTCAGACCAGTCCGCATGGTGGTGTGTTGCTCCCCTGTCACAGTCCACTGCAGGGAGACAGGCACCGAGGGACAGAGGCACTGTCAACCAGTGGGTGTTTAGTCAGGGAGGGGCAGGGCCATCTCAGGAGTGTGCAGTGTGTGGGGATAATGATGCCCAGTGGGCTTTAATCAGTGAGGGGAGAAGTGAGGACACAAGGGAAAAGGAGGTAGGCTCCATGCATCAGAGGTCCCAGTGGGCTGAAGGGTTGTTGGCACTGCGGTACTGGAGAGAGTGAGCTGGAGAGATAGGAGGTGACTGTCATCAAGCTGGCTGCCTGAAATTGAGTTGGGGGGTGCAGGTAACAAACATGACAAGTCGACTGCCCTGGGCTACTGTAGTAGGAAGGCCACATGTTGGTGCGCCCAGCTGACAGCCTGCCACTGAGCCCTCGGATCAGCACAGCCCCTGCCAGCATCTGACTGCAACCAAGCAGGAACTGTCCAGCTGATCCTTTCAAATTCCTGAGTCACACAATAGTGAGGGGGAAAATGGCTGTTTTAAGCCACTAAATATTGGAGTGGATAGTGACGCAGCAATAGTAACCAAAAAGAACTGCTGTGCCCACTGGGGTTTCAAGGGCATGTTAAGTCCTAAGGCCCTAATTATGACATGGGGTTTCTGTAATCAAGTAACTTCCCCACATCTCCCATTTGGTACTTGGAGACATCAAGTTTCTGAGAGATTTAGCAATTTGCCCAAACTTGCATAGCTAGTGAATATTGAGTAGGGCTCTGAGCCCAGGCAGTGCAGCTCAGAGCTAGTTCTCCCTCTAGCCCAGTGTACACACTGTTCCCAGTGCACAGCATGGCATCTGGCACCTGTAGGCTTCTGCTGAACAGTGAACTGAACTAGCCTGGGATTTCCTCTGCCTTCCATTCCCTCCTCCCCACCTCCACTTTCCTCCTTTGGTTGTCTTGAATGTCTTAGTCCACATAGCAGAGGAGATGAACAACCCTCTCCTTTGGGTGGGCATTCATACCTGTAGCCTGCCATTCAGCAGATTTTCCTGAGCATCAACTCTGGGCAGACAATTCTAGGTCCTCAGCACATGGGGGAAACAACTCAGTGTCCCTGACGGGGTAGACCTCAGTCAAGTGGAGGGGAAGATAATCCGACAAATCTATCATCGCCAACTGGGGTTATTGCTAGGAGGTGGGCGAGTTGGGTATGAGAGTGCATAGCAGGAAAAGCTGTCCTAGTGGAGGGAGGGAGGGAAGAAGAGTTTGCCCAGTGAAGGCAAGGAGGGGGCTGTGAATGTGCTGACCAAGGAGGAGGAAGAGCTTGACCATAGGTCCTAAGATAGGGGCATGCTGGTGTATTAAAAGCATGTAGAGGAGGCCAAAGGGGCCTGAACATATATGGGGAGGGTGGGAGAGTGGAGGGAACATTGGGGGAAATGAGACAAGGGAGGTGGGCAGGGTCCTTCACACTATGCAGAGGCATTTGGCTTAAGAACAATAGGGAGCCATGGAAGTTTTAAGCAAGGGAGTGACTTTATTTGATTTTACATGTATAAAAGGTCTCCTTCGCTGCTGTATGGGGAGCAGGGAGCAAGGGAGCAGGAGATAGACCATGTGAGAAGTGATGGTGGCATAGACTGGGGCAGAAGCAGTAAGAGGGGATGGAGAGGAATGGAGTGATTTGGGATCCTTTTTGGAAGTGAAGTCCAGCACAGAGAAACTGAGGCTCAGTGCTTCCAGGGACAGCCCCTCAACTCTCCCAGCCTGTTAGGGGCTTTCAGATACTTCTGCCCTGTGGAAGTCACATGTAGGTGGTTGAATTGGAGAATAGATGGCTAGGGCAGGTGACCTCTGACCTTTGCCTGGTGACCTGTGAGTCTTGTATTGGACTTTGAAGGAACCATGGGGACCTTATGGGACAATGGAGTATGTCACTAGAGGGCCATCCCATCACCCCTTGAGTAGGTCACTTCCCCTCCATGAGCCATAGTTTCCACAGAGGTAACATGGAAAGGGACAGCACCTATCACACTTTGGTGATATTACCCTACTTTTATAGGTGAGACCACTGAGCCTCAGAGAGTGGGAGTGACTGTCCCAGGGTCACATATGAGTAAGTGATACAGCCAAGAATGGAACTCAGGCCAGAACCTGTGCTCATGACCTCTCTGCTTCCCCATATACCTCCATCTTCTTCTGGGGCCTTCAGGCCTGAGGATGCTCAGCTTACTCAGCATAGTCTTCCCAGGAGGCCCAGGAAATTCAAGGCTGAATGCTGGAGGGTTACAAGCGTGGGTTTGGATTCAATTTCCAGTCCCGCCTAGGGGGAGGGACTGGAGCCTCAATTTTCCCCTCTGTAAAATGGGGTAATGCACACTGTGTAGCACCTGGTAGGGGAACTGTGTAGATGTAATGATACATTGGTACAAGTTGCTTCCTAGCATGGTGCCCTTTGAGAGGTGGGCACTCCGCAGTGCTTGCTGCTGCTGTGATTGTCATGCAGTGTAACAGTATGTGGAAACTCTATGGGACCCAGTGTTCCTTTTGACACAGTTGTAATGCTTCTTTTCTTTTCTAAAATGAAGTTGATAAATAACATAACCTACTGACACACATAATTTATAACATAAATAATACCTTAATTGTAATAGAAAATAAAATGAAAGTAATTAAGAATAAATCAATACACAAATATTTGGGCACAATTCATATGAAACATCATAAAGTACAGTTGAACCCCCCACCCTCACCCCATCTCTGTGTGTTCCATACCTGAGGATTCAACCGACCCTAGACTGAAAATACGTGAAAAAAACTTTTTTCAGAAAGTTCCAAAAAGCAAAACTTGAATTTGCCAAACACTGGCAACTATTTACATAGCATTTACATTCTATTAGATATTATTAGTAATCTAGAGATGATTTAAAGTATATGGGAGGATGTGCGTAGGTTATATGCAAATATTATACCATTTTACATGAGAGGCTTGCGTATCTGAGGATTTTGGTATCTGAGGGGAGTGCTGGAACCAGTCCCCTGAGGATACTAGAGGACAAATGTAGTTAGGAGGGCACAGCTATGGATGGAATCACTGTGAATCTGTGGACTGAATCAGGAGCTCTGGCAACTCATGGCTGTAATAGTCCAAAATGTGAGTGGTCCTAGGTAAAGTTCTGAACCAAACACAACCTGGTTTGTTCCCAACTTATATGGAAGTTGCTTTCCTGGTAGATCCACTATATATGAAAACCAAGCAAATAGTATGCTGGAAAAGGCAAAATTATAGACAATGAAAAGATGTGTGTTGCCAAGGATTTGGGGAGAGGGAGTGATGAATAGATGGCGCACAGGGTATTTTTAGGGCAGTGACATACTCCTGTATGATACTGTCATGGTGGTTACAGGGCATTGTGCATTTGGCAAAACCCGCAAAACCTTACAGCATAGAGAGTGAACTTTAAAGGAAACTGTGGACTTCAGCTAACAATAATGTATCAGCAAAAAAAATGGGCAAAAGACCTAAATAAACATTTCTCCGGTGAGGACATACAAAATGGCCAATAGGCACAAGAGAAAAAATGCTCAGTATTGCTAATTATTAAAGAAATGCAAATCAAAACTACAGTGAGGTATCACCTCACACCAGTCAGAATGGCCATCATTAA